TTGCAAATGCAGATGGCAACTTTATAATATTATACACAAAGAAATTAAACATAAAATATCACAAGTATTATGAACTTACCGTAAGTGACGATCAAAGTATTAGATTATTTGTTAAGCTTCAACCTTCAAGAAGTATTTGGTGATCTGGACTCTGGAGTAATGGTTTGACAATTTAAGCTTCAACCTTCACGCATTCTTTAAAAATTAAAGCCTAAAGACTAAAATCTGAATTGTGAAAGCATCTAAATCCCTCACGTGAATAAATTTTTTATAGAATAAAAATAACTAAATAAAAATAGAGCATCAGAACTTTCCAAATTCTAAGTCTTTTAGGGTTTTAATTTTTAATTTCCTTTTATATTAATTCTTAATAAGTAAAATAACATTATAAGAATGGTTCTTAGCGGGTTATAAACAGGTTCGTGTAAACGGGTTCGTATAAACAGGTTAACACGATAACATTAACGGGTTAAACGGGTTCTTAGCGGGTTAAACGGGTTGACCCGTTAAGACACGAATCATAATGGGTCTATAACGGGTCAACCCGTTAACAACCCGGGACATGTTAAGACTAAACACTAACCCGTTATTTTCGTGTCCGGTTTCGTGTCGTGTTAACGGGTCGTGTCGATAATTGCCAGGTCTATCCCCAACAATGTTCGAAGCAAATTCGTTGTTTTGAAGACTTTGGAGGCTTTCACTTCGCATTTTCAATTTCTTTCGTTCAGGTATGAATTTGTTGGGTTTCGATTTGTTTGTTGTTTATTTTTGTGATAATGTTGCGACTTTATATTTGTTTGTAAACTTAAATGTCGACATCTCTGGTTTTGTTTAGTTTTGTTGTTGTACTATGTGGTCCATCCTTGTCGTTTGTTAAGCTTTGTTGTATAGAACTTGATGTTGTTTGGTGTGTATTCTGTAATGAAAAACTGAGTAAGAGTTGTGGTCCCTAAACCATAATAAAGTTGAAAATTGCTTACATTGTTTAATGGAATTTGGAGTCAGAGTTGTGGTCCCTAAACCCTAACACTAAAGTAGTAGAAAATTACTCACTGCCTAAACCCTAAAAATGTTGGTTACTGCCTGAAAATGTTGAGTCAGAATTGTCTAACATAAACCCTAAAAATTCAGTCAGGTTTTTTATATAACTGGATAAATTGTGTAATTTAAATGCTTTGAATGATTTGTTTTGTTGTTAGGTTTTGTAGTGATGACCACTGTAGAACTACAAATACACCATGGAGGGAATTTTGTTAAAGATAAAGAACCGCAGTACATAAATGGGGATGTTTGGTGTGTTGATATAGACCCAGATTTACTTTCATATCCACACTTAGTGGAGTTTATAAAAGAAGGTCAGTGTGGAAAAGTAGAGACAATGTATTATAAAGCACTCCATGAGCCATTGGACAAACTAAGACTGTTGTGGAATGATGCAAGTGTGCTAGACCTCACTACACTAGCAATTAGATTTAAATCATGTGATATATATGTAGATCATGGAATAGATGATGTTGAATTAGTTCCAGGTCATTTGTTACCTGGGGATGAAGGGAATGGTAAAGGGAGTGATGAAGGGAATGGTGAAGGGAATGGTGAAGGGGTGATGAAGGGAATGGTGAAGGGAGTGATAAAGGGAATGAAGGTGATGAAGATGATGATGATTCTCATGAAGTAGACAGTGAGAATTCTGATTTTGAGAATGATGTTGGAGGAGTTACACAAGAGAATGATACAGTTGAGGGAAAGGGAAAGGAGAAGGAGGTTAAGGGCAAGGACAATGAAGTGAACTTAGATGGCTCTAAAAAAAAAACAGTTGAGGGTAAGGCATGTAGTGATGACTACTATTATGACTCAGCAAACCCACCAACCCAAGAGTCAGAGGAAGAAGAAGTTGAACAACATATTACACCTCCATCTAAAAATTATAAGCTGCCAGCTTATAATCCAGAATGTGATTTTCCTGAGCTTGAAAAAGGTATGTTATTTGAGGATGCAACACAGTTTAAGACTGCCATGATCAAGTATGCAGTGCACTTTAAAAGGAATATATACTTTTACAAGAATGAGAGTATGAGGGTGAGGGTTAAATGTGTTGAGGGCTGTCCTTTTGTTTGTCATTGTAGTTGGGAAGAAAGGTATATGTGTTTCCAGCTCAAAACATGCCTACTTGAGCATAGGTGCAATAACAAATACAAGCTCAAATTGGTTACTCAAAAATGGTTGGAACAAAAGTACGAGGATATAATTATCAAAGACCCAACCATGCAACATACCAAGCTTAGGGAACATATTCAGTCTGAGTTGAAGATTAATTTGACCATCACTATGGTGAGAAGGGTACAAAAAGCAGTTTTACACAGGGTGAATCTAGGGTATTCAGAGCAGTTCAAGAGAATAAGAGATTATGCTGAAGAATGTTTGAACTCTAATCTTGGAAGCAGTGTAAAGATCCATACTACTAAGGTAGTTCCAGAAGCACCTTCTACATTTCAAAGAATATATATTTGTTTCCAAGCAATGAAAAGTGGGTTTCTATCTGGGTTTAGACCTATAATTGGTTTGGATGGTTGTTTTCTTAAAGGGGGGATGAAAGGTGAGCTCTTAGCTGCTATTGGGAGGGATTCAAATAATCAGATGTATCCAATAACTTGGGCAGTTGTTGAGATAGAAAACACAGACTCTTGGAGATGGTTTTTACAGTTGTTGATTAAGGACTTAGCTATTAACAATAGCTGGAATTGGACAATAATTTCATATCAACAAAAGGTACTCTACATTATTTCATATTTACTTCTGTTTTTATTCTATTTCTTGTTAACAATAAGTACAGTTTCTGATTCTGCTTTCATAAGTACAATTTTTGATTCTGTTTCTTGTTAACAATAGCTGAAATAAGTACTGTTTCTGATTCTCATTTCATAAGTATTTCTGCTTTCATAAGTACAGTTTTTTATTTTGTTTCTTGTTAACAATAGCTTAAATAAGTACAGTTTCTGATTCTCATTTCATAAGAACTTCTGCTTTCAGCACAAATAATTACAGTTTTTGTTTGCGTTTCTATTTCTATTTCTGTAGGGTTTAGTGAGTGTTATCCAGGAGCTTTTGCCAAATGTGGAACATAGGAACTGTGCAAGACATATACATGCTAATTGGAGCAAGAAGCATAGAGGAAAGGTAATGAAAAGACACTTTTGGATGTGTGCAAATGCAACCACTACATAGCAGTTTGAAGCAATGGTTGAGCAACTAGGATTAAAGGATGGACAAGCTAAAGCTGATTTGGCCAACTATCCTGCAAAGTATTGGTGCAAGGCTTTCATGAGAACTGTAGTGAAATGTGATTCAGTAGACAACAACATGTGTGAAGCATTTAATGGAACAATAGTTAAGGCAAGGAGCAAGCCAATAATGAAGATGTTGGAAGATATAAGGGTAGCTACCATGACAAGGATCGCAAGATGCAGAAAAGCGGTAGAGAAATGGCCTGGTAACTTTGGACCTAGGATAATGAAAAATCTCAATGAGAACATTGTTGAAAGTATAGGTTGGCATGTTGACTTCAACGGGGATGATGGGTATGAGATCAAGAAGGGAAGGCAACAATTCAAAGTGAAGCTACAAGGGAAAACATGTTCCTGTAGATCTTGGGACCTAACAGGTATACCTTGTGCACATGCTTGTTGTGCCATATTTGATCTAGGTAGAGATCCAGAGCAATACATTGATGAATGCTACTCCAAGGAAGTTTACAACAACATTTATAGTCACACTTTCCAACCACTCAATGTTGAACTCAGCTGGCCTAGAACTAATTCTGAAGAAATACTAGCCCTTTTACCAAGGCCAATGACTGGTAGACCAAAGAAAAAAAGAACCCGTGAGCCTAATGAACCCCCTGTTGGAAAAATTTCAAGGCAAAGTCGAATCATGACATGTTCAATTTGTAAACAAAAGGGACATCAAAAGAGAGTTTTCCCTACAAAGAGTTCTATGCCATCTGCTGCTTCAGGTGGTGCTTCTGCCTCAACTTCTAGGAGAAGTAAACAAAGAAAAAGATCAGATGGCTTTGGTGTATACATCAACCCAAATACTGGAGCACAAATATTAAACGTAAGTAAATCATTGTTCTTATATTTAAATAATTTCAGATTTAATAATTACCGTGACTAATGTATTAACTTTTATGCATTATATAGCCTGGACAAAGAGGACAACAAGTGCTATCAGTTGGAGGGAATACAAGTGCATCTACCAAGAAGAATCAGTAGTTCCAGAAGTTAGGGCATTTAGAATTCGTAGTGGAACAATCTTTTTGTAATGATATTTTGGCTATTAACTGTGTAAAGTTGTGAATGCTACTGCCAAATGCCAACTTCTAGCCTAATATTTTGCTATATACATTTTGTTACTTCTAGCCTAATTAACTGTGTAAACTTGTGAATGCTACTGCCAAATGCCAACTTCTAGCCTAATATTTTGCTATATGTATTTTGTAACTTCTAGCCTAATTAACTGTTTATGGTGTATGGTGTATGGTGTATGGTTTCTGTTTGGCAGCTTTATGGTTTATTTTTCTGGTTTATGAGTTATGGTGTATGGTTTCTGTTTGGCAGCTTTATGGTTTAATTTTTCTGGTTTATGAATTATGGTGTATGGTTTCTGTTGGGCAGCTTTATGGTTTAATTTTTCTGGTTTATGAGTTATGGTGTATGATTTCTGTTTGACAGCTTTTGCTTGGTTATGTTTTTTTCTTGAAGTTTGGCAGATGGCTTATAACAGTTCAATAAACATGACCATTCTGGCATAGAATGATCACTTAACTCATTGGCAAATGGCTTATAACAATTCAATAAACATGACCATTCTGGCCTAAAATGACCACTTAACTCATTGGCAGATGGCTTATAACAGTTCAATAAACATAACCATTCTAGCCTAAAATGACCACTTAACTCATTTGCAATTATAATACCAACACCTCTCAAAGATGACCAAATCAATAAACTAGCATTAAACAAAATAAACTTGAAAGTTGAAAATCAGTAAACAACAATGCATTAAACCATACCATGGCAGCTAGCATTAATTTACATAATACAGCCAAGTTGAGGTTTCTTCATAAACTTACATTAAACCATACCATGGCAGCTAAAACAATTACAACTCCAACAACTACAACTTTAGCCATTTTTACAGAATTATGGTGTCCAATTCCATCCATTTTCTTCGTAGCTTCTTCAATACTCCCCAATCTCGTTTGGACCACCACAACTTCATCTCTTAAACTTCTAACAAGCCTTTTTAACTCCATTAAATCTGTTTTGGTAGATTCATACTCTATAGCTCCAATTCCTTGCATAATATTCTCAACGAAAACGAAAAATCCACATCCATTGCCCTGAAAAAAGTACGATAATTCTGAAGAAAACTAAAACAAAAAATGATATAACAAAAGTAAAAAAATCTAACCTTCCAATTTTGACATCCAAAAAATTTCATTCCACTATCCCGAGCTGTGCATAATGGGGATTTCAATCCGCATTTACAGTACATAGATGGCTCGTATTGGAGAGTATAATTGCGATTCGATATTTTTGGAGAAGTTGAAGACGACCTTGAAGTATAAAAAAGCCATTGCACTTACCACTGCGACTAGGGTGTCTGTAAGAAGAAGAGAAATAGAAGAACAACGATATTTGGAACCAGTGAACGACTAAGGCTAGGGTTTTCGGAATCAAGAAGCGAAAGAAGAGTGAAGTCGGAGAGCGAAGTTGAAGAGCGAAATCGAAGAACGAAGGAAGTCGAAGAGGGAAGAATGAGTCTGAAGCAATTTGGGAATTTGGGTGGATTTGGGTTGTTTTGGTGATGTTAATACACGGTGGAAAAGGAAAAAAATGAAGGAAATAATGAAATTGTCTACTAATGCTACGTAGAATGCCACATCAGCGTGAAACCAAAATGAATGACTTTTCAACGGCTAGCAGGTGAAATTGGAGGAATTTGGACTTTTGGATGGGCTAATTGCACTTTTTTTAGGTTGAGTGGCCTGATTGCACTTTCGCGTTACGTTCAGTAGCCAATTTGGCCCTTATTCCTAATAATAATAATAATAATCTATATCTATATATCTATTTATCTATCTATCTATATTATATATATATATATATATATATATATATATATATATATATAATAATAATAATAATAATAATAAAGCCACAACTTTTGGTAATTAAAAAAATTTTCAATTTCAATTCCCTCCCATAGTAAACGATGTCGGCCAAGGTATTTGGATTATTTTCGGCCATACAATTTTCAAGGTAATATGGCGAATGCATTAATTTAGGGTTTACAATTTCTGAACAACGTTTTGTGGATTGTAATTGAAAAAGGTTCTATATTAATTAACAAAACCTTTTTGCATACATGAATTCAAATATTGGACGCTTTGTTTATCAAGATACGACATTCAATTAATTACAATAATGATTATCTTCAACTATAAATACATTGTACAGAACCAATTCTACTGCATATCAAAAACTATACTTCCAGAGCTGCATTCTGTTAAAACCATGGCTCCATTGTACATCCTTGCAAGAGATATCGCTCCTATGAAGTGGCGATGAAGTTGCGACTAGTTTGCACCTATGATATTTATCAAGGTAGAGATAGTGATGTTATAAAATGCAGAGAGTGTGTGTTTCACGATGAACAGGTAAATTTCCTTACTTTCGTTTTATTTATTCATTTGTTTTCTTGCAATAGACATATATGTAAACGTTCTATGTATGGTATATTTCTTGGTACGAATAATGATTGGAATCATTATTCGTTTATTAGTTTTTTTAGCTTTTTGTTTTGTTGATTCATGTGTTTTCTTGCATTATTTGTTTGTTGAATATCAATTTAATATACCCGCACTGTGTTCATGTTACACAGGGAGAATATGTTCACTTCCATATCTCAAAGGAGCATCTCTGTAGTCCTAATACTTTTGTCGAAGGAAATGTGTACTGTATAAAATTTTTCTTACGCATCAGTTATTTCTACAACTAAAAAAACAAGCCGTCATCATTACATGCTTAAATTCTATCATAAGACTCTAGTGAAAGAGTACAAGGATACAAAATTCCCTAGATTCATGTATAGGTTAACATCTTTCGCATCTTTGAAGTCTCTTGAAGGAATTGATCCAGAACACTTATTTGGTATGTTGTTTTATTCATCCTAATATCTATTTTTTATTATATCTTTTTTGCAAGATTGACTAAAACATGTCTTATTTTTATATGTGATTGGTCGTGTCGTGAAAATTTACTCACCGTTGAATGTAATGATAGCAAGGAAGCCTCCGCGTCTAATTGATTTTCTAATTGAGGACTCAAAGTAACAGAATATATAATTATTTTTCCTATTCATACTGACATGGTATTGTCTAACTAATAATTTACTAATTAACTAATAATTTATTAATTTTCTCTGTACAGTGGTAATCAAATGAGATGTACCGTGTGGGACCAGCATGTTAGACAAACTGTTGCCTTATTGGAACTCAGATCTACTTGAACCTTTAATTGTTCTATTACAACTTTGTAGGGTCAAAGTTGCAGAAAACAGTAAGGATTTAATTTTTTTTATACAACTATCGTTTCTTTAAAGTTGAAGAATACTTCTAGCAAGTACTCTTATATTTATTTAGTTATATTTCATTTCATATAAAATATAAATGTAGAAGGATATACTTACTTCATTTACATCTGGGAAAGCATATTGCCCTTCTCTGTTGTGAAAATATCTTAATCTCACAAAACCTTTAATTTACTGCACAAAAAATGTAAATGAGTATTAAATAAAATTTGAGTTACTATTTATGTAGCTGGTGAAGTCAAAATATGTAATTCATACGATGCTACACAATTGATTTTCAACAAAGAACCTATCGAGTTCATTCAGTTCTGAGAAATGTATGTGAATTTGATATACATATACTCATTGAATTAGTTAATAGTTTTCTAATATTGTCCTGTGCTAAATTAATTACTAACAAACAATATTTCAGTTTCTAAGTCATGAACAAACTCCCTTTAGGAGCATTACATCCAATTCGAGCTTTAGCAATGGAAAACTAGCAAACTCAGATTTCAGTACTGGGAAGATGGTTATGAGTACTATTTATGATATTTATGAACGGAGAGATGTATATTCTATATTTTTTAAAGACAAATATACTTTTTAACTGTGTATAGAACTTATTCATCTTTTTAAATTTTGCTTGCAGTTCGGAGACTACTAGGTGGCCTGTAAAATTATTGGTTTTGATTCTAGCATATATGATTGGTACTATGTCTCTTGCAAGTCTCAAAGATGTAACAAAAAACTGAATTTACAAGATGGAATGTATTTCTGCAAAAAATGTAGTAGAAGTTCGAATGGGAGTGTATTTAGATACAGGGTCAAAGTTTGTGTGGTTAATGTCAATAGTAATGCACCTTTGTTACTTTGGGACCGTGAATATGTTGAGCTTTTAGGAATGAAGGCTGAAGAGCTGAAATCATCTCAGCCAAAGGTGAGTTTTTAGGTTTGACTAATTATGTACAAGGTTTTGATCTATACCTCTATACATACACAGAATGTGTAGATACTGTTAACTTTATTTGTTTTCATTTTCTAGGTGATTAGAAAAATCCCCAAAGAGTTTGAAAGTTTGGTAGGGCTTGGATGTTGTTCAAAATTGCTGTGAGGAAGGAACAATTCCAAAATATGTTTAATCATTTTCCTGTAATGCAAATTAAGAATGACTCATCTCCATTTGCTAATTTATGCCTTGTACTTCTTGATTGTAAAGATAAAGATTTGACTTCAAAATTGGAAGTCAAATTTGTAGACTCAGATGCTGATGAGGTATGTTAAGTATTCATTTTCATATGAAATGTGATACGTATCTATCTTTAAGATTGCATTTTCTGACTCATTGTATGTTATCTATTTAGGGATTTTTTCAGACCATGAGTTAGAGAGCCCCATTGTGAATTCTGGCCAAGAAATGACTACCATAGGAACTGAAAGTGATGCAATTAAGAGATGCCTACTGGATGAATTTTCCAGTACACAGAGTTCAAAAAGGAAGAAACAAGTTACTGTCAAGAAAGAAAAGATTATTGATGAAGATGAAGTTCCTGCATATGAATGAACAATTTGATAAAGTTGAATTATTTGTTTAACTGTGTTTTGGAAAGACAGTGTTTCTACATTGATTTGGACTGTTTGGGACTGTTAATTTGCTACTACCTGATTGGGACTACTTTAAGACCTACATGTTTTCGATTGTTTTAATATTATCTTCTAAGTTATATTTTTTAGTTGATTAATTTGATGCTTGAATTGCTAAATATATTATCTTTTCTATTTTGTTTGGTTTGAAATCATTGACAAGCATAAGTCAAGACACAGAAGTTTTTTTTTTTTTTTTTTTTTTCCAAATAATGATGTATATCATCCAGTTTAGGTTGTATTTAGGAATAGATTTGATTGATGTAATTAGCATGCAGTAATTTTTTTTAATCTTAAAGAAAGGGAAAATTGTAGTTTATGTCCCTCCATAATATGTCAATTATCAATGTCACCCATGAATTATTAGTGGTGTAAATGTTGCCCCTCAATTTTCAAAACGGTACATATATTGTCCCTCATATACGGTACGAGAGGGGCAATATATGTACTGTTTTAAAAATTGAGGGGCAACATTTACACCACTAATAATTCAGGGGTGACATTGATAATTGACATATTATGGAGGGGCATAAATAACAATTTTCCCTTAAAAAATAAAGAGTATTTTTGTCATTACAAACAATCAGATTCTATTTTAAGCCTAATACAAGAAATATAATTTCTTACTAGGAGGTGGAAGAATGGAATGAGAGAGTCAAAGTACGGGAATAAGATGGAGGTAGTGCAAAATGAAGCATTATAATTTTTTAGTCACCAATCCATTGTATTTATAGGTAGAAAATGTTAGAATTATAAATTTGTATAATTTTTTTGGCTAAAGTGTCATCCCGCCCCATGAACCATCCATGATTATTCATGTCGCAACATGATCTTTAATAAGTGATATTTAGAGCCATAAATCGTAAATTCTTTTTTCTTCTATGAACTTTTTACAAGTTTCCTACAGGTTCGCGGTAATAATATTGCTGACAATGAATTTTTTATTAGTTTTTTTTGGTATTTTTCTTCTTTCGCCTTCGCATTATAATTTTTTTCGTATTTTTCTTTTTCCTAAACGTATAGGCCTGCTCTGCGTTTTTCGCTTCTCGTTTCTCCGATAACAAACTCCGCAGAGCAGGCCTGATTAGAGAAACGAGAAGCGAAAAACGCAGAGCACGCCTATATGTTTAGGAAAAAAGAAAAATACGAAAAAAAATAATACGAAGGCGAAAGAAGAAAAATACCAAAAAAAAAACTAATAAAAAATTCCATGTTAGCAATATTATTACCGGTAACCTGTAGGAAACCTGTAAAAAGTTCTAGACGAAAAAAAATTTATGGTTTATGGCTCTAAATATCACTTATTAAAGATCATGGTGCAGCATGAATAATCAGGAATGGTTCATGGTG